AAGGGCACTCTCTCTCTCTCTCTCTCTCTCTCTCTCTCTCTCTCTCTCTCTCTCTCTCTCCAGGGCCTTCCTGGATGTACCTGACCGCCTTTTCAGTTGGGTTAAGTTGGGAAAGCCTCTCTCCCAGTATGGTGTAAGAGAGTCGGGATATAATCGTTGTTGTTGCCCTGTGTCTGATTGCGGTAAATTATTTTCGTATTAGTTTAGTTAATAAGTTAACCACATAGCTTCTTGATTGGCTAATTAATCAACCAATCAACTGATTGTTGGCTAATTAATTAACATGTCAACTAATTAGTAATTAGTTAAACAAATAATAAACAATTAAGTATTATTCTCGTATTACTTTAGTTAATTAGTTAACCACATAGCTTCTTGATCGGCCAATTAATCAACCCGTCAACAGATTGGCTAATTAATTAACGAGTCAACTAATTAGTAATTAGGTCAATAAATAAAATAATATAAATAATAATACTTAATTAGTATTTGTCGTGTCCTTATTTAGACAAATGATAAGTCATTTCCTTTTTTTTTATTTCCGGGAAGTCCCTTCATTTTTGGTCTAGTTACTACGGTAATAATTGAATTAAAGAAATAGTAAAAAAAATAAAAAGTCGAAAGGGAATGTGGATGCTCGTCGCCAACATTTTGAAAGAAAATAGAATTATTATCCATAATAATTAATCATGCATTTTGTCAGTGTTTTTTTTTTTTTTAATTATACTGAAAAAAATGAAAGGCAATGTGGTCTCCATTCTTGTCATGTACAGCCTTGGCCACTGAGCCCTTTAATAAAGCGCATTTGATTGAAAAATAAAAATAAAAAAATGGAATGTGGATGCTCGACGCCAACGTCAGGAGACGTTTTCCAGAAGTAACACTTTTGAAAAAAAAAAAAAATTCGAAAATCATGAGCAATTTTATGTTGCGGGAAATTTTTGTATATGCCCCTGGAAGTTCCATTTATTTGCGGCGTGCCCCTCTGACGACCGACTTGCCCTGTCGCGCCCCTCTGACATCGATTGAAGTTTCCCAAATACCCCTGGCGTTGTTTGGGCCTGAAATATGTTCCACATGCCCCTACCGGTACGGGTTCCAAATTTCCAGTATGCCCCTGTAAATCCCCTCCCAGGGCCAGGGGAACGGCCGCGAGTGCCATCAATGGCCACAGGGGCATGCTGGAAAGTTGCGCCTCTAACTGACAGGGGCCTGCAGGAAAATTCAGAGGCCCCAGGGGCACGACAGGGTAAGTCGGCCGTCGGAGGGGCACGCCGTAAATAAATCGAACTTTCAGGGGCATATATATATTATTTTCTTTTTTTTATTATTATTCATTTTGCCATTTATCAAATTTTATTATTATATAGTATATTTTTATAAATTTTACTACGCATTTCTAAAGAAATCAATAAAGTAAAGAAGCTTCTTTTCTGGTCGTCTCTCGCGCACAACCCTGGCCCTCGTACGTCCGTGCCCCGGATGAATTAATTAATCAATTAATTATTGCAATTTTTGTAATATTTTGTTATCCGTAATTAAACATAAAAGGGCGGGAAGCAACCCTCGCTCCAATATTTTTTTGAGCTTTCTTGATTTTTTAAAATTATAATTAATTATAAAAAAATCCATGAAACGAATTATTAAATTAAAACTATAGTTGTCCTCCCCCCCCCCTTTCCCCCCAAAGGATGTTACCTCTTTGGGCATTCTTGCCGTTCCTGATCGTAATTTTGACCTTTTTTTTTTGCAAATAATTCCTGCGTTTTTTTTTATAATTAATTCCCGCGTTATTTGAATCGTAATCGTCAGGGCTTAGCGGGTTCCCCCGCCAGTAGATCCTGACGATCTCGGTTCAGAAAAGGCCGAAATTGGGGCCAGGAACATCAAAGGTAAATGCCCCCTGCGCAAGGGTGACAAGCATAAATCGAAGAAATGGTCCAAAATTTCTCGATTTATGCGTTAGTAGTAATAAATAGAAAAGAAAAAAGGCCAAAGGAGTATTTTTTTTTCTCTCGTCTTTGCGCCTCCCACCCTCCCCTCTTTCCCGCCACCCCCTTCTCCCTCTTCCCGCTTTATTTATTTATTTATTTATTCATTTATTCCGCCACCCCCTTCTCCCTCTTCCCGCTTTATTTATCTATTTATTCATTTATTTATTTATTTATTATTATTATTATTATTTTTGGGACAACTGTTTTCATATTAAATAACATTCCCGCCTTTTTTCGTCTCTTTCCAGCCTTTCGTGTCATCTCCCTACCTCCTTTCCCCGAACATAACGCCTCAGCATCCTGAATGCATTAGAACCCTTTTTCGGTCCAAGTGCAGCCATGCTGCTCTGCGGCGTTCTGTTCTGTTCTACGGAAGAAGAATGTTACTTCTCTAGTTGTATATTAAAAAAAAAAAAATGATAAACAACTCTATAGCCGTATTTGGCACATTCTCGACTCTAGATACATCGATAATGACGATACAGCGATAATGACGACGACACAGCGATAATGACAACTATACAGCGATAATGACAACGATACAGCGATAAGGACGACGATACAGCGATAAGGACCGTATATTGTATTGAGGGGAGACGGCGGCACGTGGGGGAATTGGGATTGTGATTGGTGCAGCGTGCGCCATGATGGGAAGTGATGATTACCGATGCCACGTGGCACCTTGGCAACGGTCATTGACTGACACGTCTTACACACGTGTTCAGTGATTAATGATTAACACGTGGCACGTGGCACGATGGGAAGTGATTGGCATTTCTGGTCGCCAATTAGCATTTTATTAATAGCGCTAGCTTAAGTAAACCCGGCCAATCACTGGTCGCCATCTTACACACGTGTTCAGTGATTAATGATTGACACGTGGCACGATGGGAACTGATTGGCATTTCTGGTCGCCAATTAGCGTTATCTTAATGATTGACACGTGGCACGATTGCCATTATATGACCGTCTTAAGTAAACCCGGCCAGTCATTGGCTTGTGATGGGGTTTGATCTGGCGGAAGTCTCTTCCATGATGATGCCACGTGTAGAGTCTTTGGTCTGGTGGGCTTGAGTGATTGTCTAGTTGAATTTCCGCCACTGGCACCCTCCAACGGCAGCCACAAGTCGGGTTAAGGGTATCAGTTAGAGGGGGGTTAAAGGGTAGCAATTAGCGGGGGGGGGGGGGGGGGGGGGGGTAAGGGTATCAGTTAAAGGGAGGTAAAGGGTAGCAGTTAGGGTGGGTAGAGGTAGCAGTGGTTGGTGCTCACCTTTTGAGTGAGTTGAGGTAGATTATCAGTTGCAGGGCAATGTGATTGCAATACACCCAACCGAAACGGCAATACACCCAACCACAATCAGCAGACAAAACCAATCAGCAGGCAATTAATTACTCAGCTCAACCAATCAACTTAATGGAGTAATTGCCTGCTGATTGGT